AAAATTTTAACTGAAAGAGTGTAAAAAAAATAAGAAAAAAGGTATTATAGAAAAAATAGAAATGATATATGCAAACCATCAAGTATAAGGTCATTATTAAACAGAAAAAACAAAGAAAGACATGAATACAAATTATCAATTAAATAGTTTGGGAAGAGTAAGGAACATTGATTTTAATGGACTAATAATGAGACGTGTAGATCAACATACCTCTGAAGCGAGACCATGAGCTGACGTAACTTCATACATCTTGCGCATAAGCATTTCTTCTTCAATCTGAAAAAAATAACCCCAAAATTTAGAGAATTCACATTGCTGTAGATGATTACATGAATTTGGGCTCAATGTAAAGGTCATCAAATGAAATTTGGGGAAGGGGCGGGGGAGTGTTCAATCAAATAAGCATGTCAGTAAGAAATGAAACCGAAAGATCACAAATAGTTTTGTAATGGAAAGTGGCGTTCCAACAAGGCATCAAAAAGTGTGTAATAAACATATAATTTAGAAGAAAAATCAGATAAAGAGCTGCTAACATCAATGAAAAAGAATATTTTGTTGCTAGAGATCGAACTTAGATAGCAAATGAACTAGATTTGTATAATTTTACAATAAGAAATTAATATCAAAATGCAAAGACAAAGTAGCCATACAGGGAGATAAAAGCGTGACATATAGAAGATAAATTGTTGTTTTATTCGGAGCAAGAGATTGAAATCAAATGAGCTAAAATCACATGTTAGTTAATATTTAACATACAACTACAGCCAGAAACTAGTACCAAATTCCCAATAGAAAGTACATTTTATCACATATCAATTTGCTTTTCTACTACTGAAAGCTTCCAAAATAAAGAATGTAATTTCTCTCAAATAGACAAAAGCAAAATAAATAACAGCCTACCATTATCAATTCCAAACAAATGGAGATCAAGTCTCAAGACAAATAAATTCCACAATATTCTAAGCCAGTAGTAGAATAAAAAGTACATAAAAAAATGAGTGATGCAAAACTGCAAACCATAAAAACCAAATTGCAAATTGGGAAATTCAAATCAGTTGAGAAGTAAAAACCTGAAGTTTCTGTAATTCATGCAACATCGATCTATATGCTTCCATAAGGACCTCATTCTGTCTATCCATGTGCCTGTTCAGCAGAAATATAGAAAGAAAAGCAGTTCAAGTAAAAGAAACAGAAGCAGAATTGAATTGGTTGAAGGAAACGTACTTCAATAACTCCCCAGTGTGTCTTGGATCAAAATTTTGAAATTCCATGCTGATAACGAAATTTGACGATCCTAACTAAAAAAGGGCACCTGAGAATGCAGAGAAAAGATGATGAACCACACAGTCACACACCTTCGCAGATCTTCAACCAAAGCAATCAGTGACAAAATCAATTTTATCACCCTTGAAATCTGCAATGACAAAGAAGAAAAAAACACGTTCAATTTGTTTCCCATCTCACACTATTACTGGAATAGGTGTAAGCTCCCCCCAGATTCAATTTAGATTTTCTAGCTACATAAATTATGATACTCTAAAATTGCATCAGAAAAAAGCAAGGAATAATAAAAATATCAGATCTAAATAACTCCATAGCAATTGAATTTCATTTGTTAGCCAATTCAACTCTAAAGCAAATCAGCAAATTGCTAGCAGTAAATTATTAGCAAGTATATATCCAACTATCCAAGTGATTGCCACTAATTATACAGAACACATCACACATTGATGCACTGTAATACTAAAAGGATAACATTGATGCAGATATATCATGAGCCTCAACAACAGAGTGCAGATATATCATATCATAAAAATTCATTGAGAACATATATATATATATATATATATATATATATATATATATATATTAACATAACATACAGCCAAGTAATCCTGGTACTTTGGATTTTATTAAATGGAAAAATCAGATCACACATAAGAAAATACTTGCCGCATCAAAAGTAAACATGTCCATATTGGGTCAAGCATCCAATTGATTTAAGATGTGAGTTCAGAGAAAGGGATATGCAACAGGTCAAATAACGTTTCATAAAATTGAAAATACAGAGCTGATTAGATGTTAATATTCATACTATAAATTATAAAAGCTACATGTACAGGATACATAAACTAAAAAATGAATCTGAAGAATGAAGCTAACTTCTTCTTGTGCCCATCCATGGTTACAAATAATCAAACAACACAGGAAAATCAAACTAAACCAAAAATAAGAAACATGTATTCTCTCCTGCCTCTGCAGCAGGATGTTCCCTACAGCAAAAATCTGGATCATTAATCAAATTTTCTCATTTAATCATTGTGCAATAACTAATCAACTGTCGTGATTTGGCTGCATGTTGGATGCAGAGGATCTATATTGGAATTAAGTATTTTTATCAATATTCTTATTATACTCACTCCACAATCAATCAGTTCATTTATCCAATTTGCACCAGAAATGAAAAGACTCATTCTCATTGTTCAGTCCATCCAAAGCAAGGCAAGAACGGTTCATTAATAGGTAACTTGGTACTGCAAATATTTATTCTCATTTTCTATCATCCCTAGTAACTAATTACAACTAGCAGCATGAATTGGCCAACTCAAAACATGAAATGTCCAATTCAAAACAGATGAAAGTAAACTTATCATGTCTATTACTTGATGATGGTTAGTATTTTGGAAGCTAAAAAAAACTACAAGAGTAGTATTTAAGAATTAAGATGTAGAAAAAGCTTTTCAATTAAAAGTAAATATGAGGTCAGTTTATTTTTACATTTTCTCTATCCCTTACCCAACGAGCTAACATCCAACAAGGAAACACATTTTGGCGTCATATTATTACTGATTTAATGCACATAACCCCTTGAATTTTAGCATTTAACAACCATTTTTTTTTTTAATTTTCTTTCTACACACGGAGTCATTCTCCAACTAAGAATTGTATAAGAGATAAGATGTATACTAACAAAGAATTGTACAAAAGATAAGATATATACCAACAGTTTTTAGAAAGGAAATGACCCCACCATGCAGATGTAACTCTACGCTATAAAAATCGGCAAATCAGGTCACCTGATTATCCACAGGGGACCACCAATTCTATATGGCAATGATTCACAACTATAAGAAAGATTTTGCTCCAGATAGTAAAAAATCAGAAAGAGGATTAAGACTTCACGATGGAGGACTGGAAGATTGAGTTCGTTCACTCTTTAAGAGAAGGCAATCAGTGTGATGTAAGAATGGCTAAGATTGATCCAAACTCTGGTGTATCTTTTATGATTTTAGACATACCCCCCGTGGGAGTGCAAGAATTCCGCTTGGCTGATGCTATAAGGGTTCATGTTTTGAGACATTGGTTCTCCTCTTTGTTCTTTGCTTTCTATGCTAATGTTACCAAAAAAAAAAAAAAAAAAAAAAAAAAAAAAAAA